TACAAACGCACGAAATACAGGGTAGTCACTCGGATTCTCTTTTTAAAGAAGGCGTTTGCTGAGTTAGTCCGTCCGTAACCCGCGGCTCGTCTCGGCCACATGGAAGGCCGCGCAGCGAGCAGGAAGGTAGCTTCGCAGCCGCTCTATCCGCCCCCCTCACTCGCACTTGTGTTCAGCCTTTCCCAGCCCACCCGAAGTTCGGGATTCACAGGCTTTGTTGTCTCGCTGGCTCATGCCGCCCCTGCTCACCCTGCCACCATTCCGGTGGCTTGAAATTCTGGGAGTGGTCTTACAATAGCCTGGGGTACCCGTTGTGTCCCTGCCCAGAAAAAAGTAGCGTGAAAAAGTGTCCTTTTTAAGAGAGTTTAAGTTGTTTCTACGACCAGAATCCCTGACAGCGGGGAAAAACTTTTCTTCTCGTGTGTTTCAGAAAGGTACCCAAATCGTTCACCACAAACACAGGATCGCCAACGATTTTCTCATCTGGACCAGCCACCTTACAAATGCTCGCATCGTCTGGGGTTGGGGAAGGAATCGGCGGGGAATGGGGGTTACGAGACTGTACATTGAAGGGCGCGCAGCGCAGGCGTTTCGTGGGAGAAGTGGAAGTCAAAGCGGGGATGGGAAGGGAGGGAGGGATTTGTCGAATCGGGTGTGTGGACATGCGCAATTGCTGGCGGAAGTACAGCGTAGCTGGCTGCCCAGTGCCCCAGATCCGCGAGCCTTGGGGGTAACTCTCCTGCCGAACCGAACCAGAACTGTATCCTGCCCGTCACGGTCAGTCTCACACACCGAAGCTCTGTTCCTCACCTGGATTTTTTCAAGTGTAGGTTCGTTTGGTGGGCGGCGAGACCAGGTCCACCTTCCAAACCAGCTCGAGCTCAGTCAATAAAGAGCCCCTCTTGGTTCATTCCTCTCATAAAACATTCCATTGCCCAGGGTTGGAACTTGGAACCCAACAGCAGCAGCAGTTCCACTTGCTCTTGCACACACTCTCCCTCAAGCCGCCATTACTTGGAACCGCTTTTTCGACGCGTGATCTCTTCTTATCGGCCTTGACAACACCTTCCGCGTTGGCTACCCAACCCAGGCATGTCGAGGGCGTGGCTCGTCGTGGCGCTGCTTTGCAGCGCGGCGCTGCTAGCTTCCGGCGCCGTAACTCCCGCCGCAACCTCCGCCGGGCCGCGGTGCAGAAACCGCTTCCCGCGCAAGCCTCTTTGCAAGTTCGTGGACGACATCGCGACGAACCCGCTCACCGTGATTGACGGCACGACGGGCAAGTTGGTGAAGATCGGCGTGTATCAGAAATACCAGGTGGGTGTCATTTATTGATAAGACTGGTCACTTCACAACTAAGCAACGCTGAACTTTCTATGTTTTTACTGCATCATACGTCGGCGCGAGCGTCCCTCTGCGCGACATTGCCATTGCAGTGCATTTGTCTCCAGTATGTCGCAGTTCTTCCCAGCGCCACATGTTGTTATTAATAATTTGTATCTATTATTTTGTATCCCTTCCAGAAATTCCATCGCGATCTGCCCGCGACGAAGCAGTACGTGTACGGAAAGGATGAGAAGACCGCCTACTATCCCGGCCCGGTCATCGTCGCCCAGCGTGGCGTGGAAACGAAAGTAAGTCGCGAAATAGTGCTAGTTACATTCGCACGCATTTTCGCTAACGCATGAGGGGCTCACTGAAAATGTGTTCGTGTTTTGTCGTTCTCCTGTCTTGTCGCGTCGCAGGTGTATTTCGAGAATCACCTGCTGGACAAGCAGCACATGTTCACCGTAGACTACACTCTCATGCCCGGCATTCCCAAACCGAAGCTCGGTGGCATTCCCGTTGGTAAGTCCAAATGCGAGCAGCAGCAACAAATGCGATGCTTCGGTGTCGCTGGTCGGTTTCTTCCGCAACCTGCTCTTTCATTCTCTCAATGAGCTGCCATTTCGGGTTTCTCCCGCAACGCCACGCCTCTCCCTTGTTCCTCACCTATTCTAGCTTTGATTGAATCTGTTTTCCTTCTTCGTGTTCACAGTGCCGCATCGTCACGGCGGTGAGCAGCAAAGCGACAGCGACGGCCACCCACAAGCGTGGTTCACGCAGTTCGGCGAAACGGGCCCCACCTTCAAGTCCCGTCTCTACACCTACTCCAACAAGCAAAACCCTGCCGCGATCTGGTATCACGACCACACCCTTGGCTGGACGCGCCTTAACACCGTTGCCGGCATCGGCGGGCTCTACGTGATTAAGGACCCCAAGGGGTACGAGCGCAAGATGGGGTGGTTGCCTAGCGGAGCGCGCGAGGTTGCCCTGGCGATTGCGGATCGCACGTTCTTTGCCAACGGTTCGATTAACTACCCGAATGTCGGGAACGTGCCGCGCGTGCACCCGAACTGGAACCCCGAGTATTTGGGCAACACCATCGTCGTTAATGGCAAGGTGCGCATGACTTTCGAGTCGACTAAATCCGACCTCAACCGAACTGGAACCCCAAGAACATAGGCAACACCATCGTTTTTAACGTCAAGTTGAGCATTGCCGCATTTAGTTCGATCGTAATCGAGCCGGAATCTAGTTTTTTTTTTCCCCCATTCCCCCTTTCCCGTTCGTCAGGTGTGGCCGTACATGCGCGTACGCCCCGCAATGTACCGCATGCGCCTGCTCAACGCCGCCAATGCGCGCGTGTTCAACCTCAAGTGGGTGTGCGCCGCGCGCGCCGATTACCCCAACTTCGTTCCGCCCATCCAGGGCCCCGCGATGTCCGTCATCCAGGTGAGCAAAAAACTCTCCGCAAATCTTATCCCCCAGAAATCTTCAAAGTGGCAAGCCCCCGACACGCCCTTCATGTCATTCTAATGATGGTACTTCTACTACCGCCTTTCGCTGCACACGCGGTTCCGTTACGCAATCCACCTCCGCTCGCCGGCTGGAGTCGCATGTTCGCTCGGGGCAAGCGCCTCGCCGCACCAACTTCACTAATTCAACACACCTCTTTTGCGTCCCTCTCCTCCCCCTCCCGATGTCCCTCCCCTTCACCCATCCCTCCAACCTTAGATCGGCACTGACGGCGGGTATCTGGTCCGCCCTGTGCGCCGCACCGAAGTGCTTCTGGCCCCCGGCGAGCGTGTCGATCTCCTCGTCGACTTCTCCCTTGTCCCGTCGGACTGCAAGGACGTGATTATAACTAACGACGCGCGCGCGCCCTTCCCCGCGGGCCAGCCGGTGACTGCGGAAACAGGCGTGGTGATGCGCATCAACATTTTGAACAAGAAGCGCATCCCGTCCCCAGTTATTCCCAAGAAGATCAGCGTAAGTTCACGCTTATTTCTACTCGCATTGATCCAAAATGAAAACAAATATAACAAATTTCCACCCTCGCCATCCCGAAAAACATCAGAGTGCATGCGACTCTCTGTTACCCCCTTCCATAACTGAACCAACGAACGGTCTATGATTTCGTTGAGATGGGCGTCTGATCTTGTTTCCTCTTTCGCATGTTCTTCGTTGAACGCAGTGGATGCCCCAGGTGCCCGCGGTGAACAGAGAGCGATACGCCACGCTCGTCGAGGTCATGGATCGCGCGACGAACCTGCCCATCCGTGTTACAATCGACGGCAAGTCGTACATGGACCCCGTTACCGAGACTCCAAAGCAGGTACACTGCATCTCTTCAGTTTAATTTTTCTGCATGATGATATATAACCTGCAGCCTGTTATGCCTACACTTGCTTGCTCCTTGTTTCTTGTGTGTGTGTGTGTGTGTGTGTGTGTGTGTGTGTGTGTGTGTGTGTGTGTCTGTCTGTGTGTGTCTGTGTGTCTGTGTCTGTGTGTGTGTTCTTTCCTTCTTTCTTTCTTTTCTAAACGTGCACCTTTTCTGGCCTTGTTAATCTTTGTAGGGTGATACTGAGGCCTGGTACTTGATCAACCTATCAGCGGACGCCCATCCGATGCACATGCATCTTGTACAGCACCGCCCCGCTTGGCGCCGCCCATTCGATGTGGCTGGTTACCAGGCTGGCCGTTGCTCGTTCACGGATAAAACAAAGCCAAGCTGTTACACTGGTAACCGGGTGCTGGTTGGCTACCACGAGAGGGGCTGGAAGGACACCACCCTGGCGTATCCTGGGCAAGTTCTGAAGCTCATTCTCACATTCAAGCGCCAGGTATGCTGTGGAATGTCCATTATCCTGATGTGTAAGCTTTCAATGTCTTCGTCAGTTGGCACTTAAAACACCAAAATTGCCTGCAAGTACGTCAACAGCCCCAGGCTGCTTAATATCATTTGTGATATTTATTGTTTTGTTTCCCTTCTCTCTATTTCTGTCTCCAGGACATGATGCCGTATGAGTTTGATGCCAGCACTGGTCCTGGCTATGTGTGGCACTGTCACATCCTTGACCACGAGGATAACGACATGATGCGACCTCTTGTCATCACAAAGTAGACCTCTTCAACTCCATAACCCTCAGCAAGCGGACTTATTGAATCCCATTGGTGGTTTGGCCTGGTCGGATGATTTGTGGATGGGAAACTGGCTAGGGCATGGGTGTGGTTGTGTGGTGGGTCACCTAGGCCCAGCTCAGGACATCCTAAGTGAATTTGTTGCCATGTGGTGACATGTAGCGGGGTTGTAGGATGCTAGCTGGCTAGCAGTTCTCTAGTAGGACCTAACTGGCTTCATGTAGCTAGGTCTTGTACACAATGGGTGTAGGATGCAGTGTCTGTTTTAGTGGAAATAATGACATTTTGGGGAATGCAATGCAACTAGCATATTCTGTACATGGATAGAATTGTAGTTCTACGCAGTGCACAAGGCATAATGGTAAATGGTGACAGCATCATGCAGCACTGTCTATTTCAGCGAGACAGAGTGCTTGGAAATGGCCGTGGAAGGCGGGTGCAAATGTCATGTCCACACCATGTACGAGTGCTGGGAATTCTAGACAGTGGAGGTACATACGATACCAGAACATGAACGGAACCTGTTCAAGGCCAGCACTCTAAAAGCGCACACCAAACATGAGCACAGCAGCCAGCAGCACAGCGACAATCACAGCAATGTAGCGTGTTGGAATGGCCGTGGCGGGGGGTTGCGGGGGCGGGAGCAGCGGGAAGTGGTCCGGCATGGAGCAGGAATAACCGTCGAAAGAGAGGAGTGAGGGGAAGAGGTTTTTCCCGTCAGCTGCTGTGAGGTTGAGCCCTGGGACCAGACCGAACTGCCAAGTGGGGGAGGGGGATTGGGTAGAGAATGAGAGGCAAACGAACCACAGCCCACCACACTAGCCACAGCCCACCACACTAGCCACAGCCCACCACACTAGCCACAGCCCACCACACTAGCCACAGCCCACCACACTAGCCACAGCCCACCACACTAGCCGCAGCCCACCACACTAGCCAAAGCCCACCACACTAGCCAAAGCCCACCACAAGCAAACCACACCCCACCTTGAAAACGCTCTGCACGTTGCCAAAGCTCTTCCCCTTGAAGTCAGGCACTTATGATACAGCCTGCCTTTACTCTGCTGCAGCCCGCTTCACTGCTCTGCTACAGCCCACCACACTAACCACGGCCCACCTTGAAAACGCTCTGCACGTTGCCAAAGGTCTTCCCCTTGAGGGGAGACGGTGTGCCTTCCAGCCAGCTGTTGCTGCCTGTGAAGCCGTAGAGCATGCGGGAGGTGGCTGGAGGGGGGGGGGGGGGGAGGAAGGGGGAGGGGAAAAAGGTGGGGGAGGGGGAAAGGGGGAGATGTGTGCCTTGAGGAGAGACGGTGTTACCCTCCAGCCAGCTGTTGCTGCCTGTAAGGCCATAGAGAGGTGGTTGAAATTAAAAGAGCAGGTGGCTGGAGGGAGTGATGAAGAGTGGGGAGGTCGAGGGGGAGGAGAAAAGAGGGGAAAAAGAGAAAAGCGTCTTGAGGGGATGAGGTGTGCTTTAAAGGTAGCTGCTTCTCCCTTTGAATCCGCAGAGAAGGCGGGAGGGTGGCTGCAAAGGGGGGACGGGGGGTGTGACCATGATCAGCGGCAGAGAGTTTGGGAGGTGCTAGGACTCAGTGCGCCATCCAGCCAGCTGTTGTTGCCTGTGAAGCCGTAGAGAAGGTGGGAGGGAAAGGGAGGGAGAGAAGAGAGGAGAGCAGAGAAAGGGGAGGGGCAGAGGATGGTGCCAAACCAAAGAAAGAAAGAAAGAAAGAAAGAAAGAAAGAAAGAAAGAAAGAAAGAAAGAAAGAAAGAAAGAAAGAAAGAAAGAAGGAAAGAAGGAAAGAAGGAAAGAAGGAAAGAAGGAAAGAAGGAAAGAAGGAAAGAAGGAAAGAAGGAAAGAAGGAAAGAAGGAAAGAAGGAAAGAAGGAAGGAAAGAAGGAAAGAAGGAAAGAAGGAAAGAAGGAAAGAAGGAAAGAAGGAAAGAAGGAAAGAAGGAAAGAAGGAAAGAAGGAAAGAAGGAAAGAAGGAAAGAAGGAAAGAAGGAAAGAAAGAAAGAAAGAAAGAAAGAAAGAAAGAAAGAAAGAAAGAACAAAAATTCGGAGACATGAAGACCCAAGGTTGGTACCAGAGATGTTGACAGAAGGTCGTACCAGACACATTGGCATATCCGAATGAGTAGATGGCAGAGGTGTTGGCGATAGAAGGGAGCGAGATGAGCGCTACCCAGTCAGACACACTGCTGTTGCCTCGGTTGATGATGCTCAGCTAATGACACGGGGTGGGGTGGGGTGGGGGAGAGAGGTGGTGGGAAAGAGAGGGGATGCGGGAGAGAGAGGAAATGTGTGTGGTGCAGTGGATGTGGGTGGAGCGCTACCCAGTCAGAACCACTGCTGTTGCTGCAGTTGATGATGCTCAGCTGATGACACGGCTGATGCTCATGCGCACTGCCATGTGCACGTGCCTTTGTCATTCAGCCCACCTTGCAGGGATTTTTTGAGAATTCTCAGAAAATCCCATGTGCGCACTGCCATGTGCACGTGCCTTTGTCATTCAGCCCACCTTGCAGGGATTTTTTGAGAATTCTCAGAAAAACCCATGTGCGCACTGTCATGTGCACGTGCCTTTGTCATTCAGCCCACCTTGCAGGGATTTTTTGAGAATTCTCAGAAAATCCCATGTGCGCACTGCCATGTGCACGTGCCTTTGTCATTCAGCCCACCTTGCAGGGATTTTTTGAGAATTCTCAGAAAAACCCATGTGCGCACTGTCATGTGCACGTGCCTTTGTCATTCAGCCCACCTTGCAGGGATTTTTTGAGAATTCTCAGAAAATCCCATGTGCGCACTGCCATGTGCACGTGCCTTTGTCATTCAGCCCACCTTGCAGGGATTTTTTGAGAATTCTCAGAAAAACCCATGTGCGCACTGCCATGTGCACGTGCCTTAGTCATTCAGCCCACCTTGCAGGGATTTTTTGAGAATTCTCAGAAAATCCCATGTGCGCACTGCCATGTGCACGTGCCTTTGTCATTCAGCCCACCTTGCAGGGATTTTTTTAGAATTCTCAGAAAATCCCATGTGCGCACTGCCATGTGCACGTGCCTTTGTCATTCAGCCCACCTTGGCAACGAATCCGTTCTCATACACGGCCACCACGTGCCAGTGCAGGTGGATTGGGAAGCTGTATGTTGTTTCATGCATTGATACTACGAATGAAGGAAGGAAAAGCATCAAACCCACCTTGGCGACAAATCCGTCCTTATACACGGCCACCACGTGCCAGTGCAGGTGGATCGGGCAGCTGTCGCGGCACCGGGCAGAAATAAAATCCCTGTCCTCGCCGTACCAGTTCGGAAGCTTCTTGGAAGGGACTACATCGCCCCTGCCACCAATCGTATCAAAGATCGTATCTGAATCGCATCAAGATAGGGAAGGAATGAGGGGAGGTCAAGGCAAGGAGGCGAGAGGGACGAAATGAAGGTGGAAGGAAGGAAGGATGCAGGGGAGAAAGAAGACAAGGAGACGAGCAGGAAGAAACGCTGGGGCCAGATTTAGGGAATAACGGGAACAACTACTGGGCTCAAGACGCACCAGGAGCAGCACACATGGGCCAATCACGGAGCCCCACGTGGGGATAGCTGCTGCTGTTAGCCGCCGTCCCATTCCCAGTAGAGGGAGCACCGAGGAGGAGGCTTGAAAGCAACGGAGGGGAGAAGGGAGAGGTGGGAGTCGAAACCGAGGACAGGGAAGCAGAAGAGGCGGAGGAGGAGGTGGGGGAAGAGGAGGAGGAAGACGAAGAATCAGCCTCCCCTGGGCATCCACAGGCGCAGCTTTTGCAGGGAGCAACATAGAACTGCCCGCTGCCACTGCCGGTGCTGCTGCTGCGGCCAAAGATGCTTCCCCAGGCGCCCTGAGGGGAGCCGGTGTTGTTGAAAGCGGCAGAGAAAGACACACAGCAGGCGGGGCGAGGAGGCGGGAAGGAGGGGTCGCGGTAGCAGGCGTAGCGCCACGTGGCGACCGCTGATAGGTTGCGGGAGGGGTTGACCTGATGGGGGTGGAGGAGGGGAGAGTGAGAACGGGGGGTGTGGTGGAGGAAGTGAGGAGCGAGAGGGTTTGCAAGTGGTGGGATAAGATACAGTAGCTACAACCCCATGCCCCTTTTTCTGCTGCTGCTTAAAAAAAAAAAAACGGACTCACGGGGAACTGGGAGGGGTCGATGAGGACGGCAAAGGAGCAGACAATTCCCGCGAGGCCGAGAGAGAGGTTTCGAGGTGGGGAGATGGTGGGGAGATAGTGGGGAGATGGTGGGGAGATGGTGGGGAGATGGTGAGGATGACCTTAAGGCCTCAATAACGAGGGTGCCTCACTAATTGACTCACCGGGAACTGGGTGGGGTCGATGCGCACACCAGCAGAGCAAACTATTCCAGGAAGGCCGACAGAGATATTGCGAGGAGGGGCGATGGCGGGGATGGCCTTGAACTGGCGCGTGCGGCCGATGCGCAGACGAAACTGAGCGAGAGAGGTGTTGCCCTGATGGGAGTAGGCATGGAAGGGGAGGGGAGGAAATAGAAGATGGGAATAGAGTGGCAGTGTGGAGAATGGCAGGTGATGGAGGGGAATGGCTGGCTCGTTTGGCCGATGGGCAGGCGGAACGGAGCGAGAGAGGTGTTGATGCGTTCGGAGGGGGGGGGTTGCATGGAGGAGGGGAATAGGGTAATTGAGATGGAGGGACGGTCTACCCACTCCCACCCACCCACCGACCCACCCACCTGGTATTGAGCGAGAGCAGGGTCGCCATAAGGGAAGGAGCGCAGACCGATAGACCCATTCTTGCAGCAGGAGAGGCGAACTCCCTGGGTGGCGCCCAGGTCCCGCCCGCTCTCAGAGGCACACGCACCCCCCCGACAGACACAGGATACCCACCCACTTAGACACCCACCCACCCACCCACTTACCTGGTACTGAGCAAGAGCAGGTTCACCATAAGGAAACGAGCGTGCAGCCCAACGGAGCCATTCTTGCAGCATGACAAACGCACTCCCAGAGACGCCCCCAGGTCCCGCCCGCTCTCACTGCCATACGCCCCCCCTGGCAGATCGACAAAGACGGGCCGCGGCGAGCAGGAGTGGGCGGGCACAAGGCAGGGAGAAAGCCCTAGTGCTGCTCACCTGGTACTGGGCAAGCGCAGGGTCGCCATAGGGGAAGGAGCGCAGCCCTATAGAGCCATTCTTGCAGCATGAGAGGCGCACTCCCAAAGTCGCCCCCAGGTCCCGCCCACTCTCACTGCCATACGCCCCTCCAGGCAAATCCACAAAGACGGGCCGCGGGGAGCAGGAGTGGGCAGTGGCGATGGCTGCTCCGTAGACGGCTGTGGAGGCGGACTGCTGCTGGCAGTTTCCCTGTTGGGTTGCTTGTGCTCCAGATGCTTCCCACACTATCTGAGAACAAACAGAGGGAGTTGGGAGGTGAAGGGGAGCATGGGAAGAGAGAGGTAGACAGGAGAAGGAAGGAGTGGGCAGTGGCGATGGCTGCTCCGTAGACTGCCGAGGACGCGGACTGCTGCTGGCAGTTGCCTTGTTGGGTCGCCTGTGGGAAGAGGGGAAGGTAGAAGGAGCATGAGTGGCCGGTGGCAATTGCTGCAGGGGCACCATACACTGCTGGCAGTGCATTCCCCACCTCATTCTGAGTCCACCGCCAGCTGAGCGCCCAGGGCTCGTTCCTGGGTGGACCAATGCGCCTGTCAGCCTGCAGGTTGCTCTAGGGCCATGCATACACACAGCACCTTAAACCCTCAACCCTTCCCACCGTGAACCTTGAACCTCCCTTGTACCTCGTTCTGCATCCACCTCCAACTGAGCGCCCAGGGGTCGTTTCTTGGGGGCCCAATGCGCCTGTCCGCCTGCAGGTTGCTGATCGTGACGAGCATCTGATGGTCCAGATCGCTCGCTGCTGTGATGTCGATCTGGACCGTTAAAGCCGGGATGATGGGCGGGAGGCGGGGAGGGGGGCGAGGAGGAGGGGGAGGCGGGTAGGGAGTTTCCTTACAGCAGACCTGGGAGCGGGGAGGGTGGGAAGGGAGATTCGGCAACAGGGAAAGGGAAATGCTTTGATTATACTCGAAAGCGGGGCAAGGGAAGAGGAGGAGGCGGAGGAGGCGGGTAGGGAGATTCCTTGCAGCAGACCTGGGAGTGGGGAGGGTTAAGAAACGGGCTATGGGGGGTTTAGGAGCAGGGAAAGGGAGGATCAGAAACGGGGTAAGCGGGGGACAAAAAATGGGTAATTGCTAGTAGAAACCTGAAAGCAGGAAAGAAAAACAGAAAACGCGTTGGAAGGGTCAGGTGGAAGCGAGCGGGTGGTTCTTTCTTTGAGGGGTCTCAAAAGTAGAACCAGGCGTTGGAAGGGGGAGGTGCAGGCGGGTGGGTGGGTGGGTGGGTGGGTGGGTGGCTCGATTCTTGCAGGGACAAGGGCAGGCTTGGAAGGATGGTAGGGGGCGAGGGAGAAGGACAGGAGGCAATCTACACGTCAGACTTCTAAAAAGCATTTCAACATAGCAGTTTCGAATGAAGCAAGTACACAGATGGAATGGGACGAATGGGGAAGTGGTGTGCTTGCATGCACACCTGAATCCTGTTGGGAGATGGGAACTGGGGGCGGTTGGATGCACAGTGGAAGCCTGCAGCGGAAGGGCGGTAGGCGGGAGGGGAGATGGGGGGATGGGTAGGGAGATGGGAGATGAATCTTGCTGCTCTTGCATGCTCGCCTGAATCCTGTTGGGAGATGGGGACTGAGGGCGGTTGGATGCATAGTGGAAGCCTGCAGGGAAGCGCGGAAGGAGAGAAAGGCGGGATAGGAGAAGGAGAGAAGGGGAGACGGGGAGATGGGGATGGCAAGGGAGACAGTAACAACAACAGAGAGTTTAGGGGGGGGCTTAATGATGCACAGCGAAACCTTGCAGCAGAGAAGGGGAGGAGGGGAGGCGAGAGAAGCCGGCAAGAAAGTCATGGTATATCCGTCCCGTCCCGCGCACCCGATGTCGTCGTGAGTCAGAGGTGGGTTTGAGAGTGTTGACTCAAGCTGGCCCTCACGCACGAATAAAGTCACACAAACAAAGTACTTGACCCACGTCCCAGGTGAAGTGAGTTTTGCCCTATGCACGAGGTGTGGTGAGGTAGAGCATGTGTGGGAGCGCCTTGCTGGCAGTCGCTCGTTGCCCCAAAGTCTATACCTACAGACTATGTAACTAATAGATCCACTCGGCTCAGCAAGTGAAGTGAGCATTTGCCCCACGCACCCGGTGTGATGAGGTAGATCGTGCGTGGGAGCGCCTTACTGGCAGTCAGCTGCCACCCCAAGATCCACACTTGAAGACTAGGTAACTAATCTTCCCACTCACCAGGTGAGCTTTGCCCCACGCACCATGTGTAGTGAGGTAGAGGGGTTGAACGCCACCGAGATGGTACCTGGTGTGGTGAGGTAGAGAGTGCGCGGGAGCGCCTTGCTGGCAGTCGCCGCTCCAAACTCCACACTTAGAAGACTAGGTTATTGATCAGTCCAACTCACCAGGTGAGGTGAGATTTGCCCTACGCACCAGACCAGGTATGGTGTGGTAGAGGGGTTGAACAGAATCGAGACTGTACCTGGTGTGGTGAGGTAGAGTGTGCGCGGGAGCGCCTTGCTGGCAGTCGCCGCCCCAAACTCCGTGCCAAACACCTCCGCAAACACCACATACTGCCGAACGTCGCCGCCCGCGTGGATCGCCGTGATGAGTCGGTCGCTCTGGTCGTCAATACTGGAGAAGAGAAGTGCGGAGCCTGTGAGTGCAGCGGAAAGGGGGTAATTGGGGTGAGACAGAAGAGGCAGGTATGTGGGGCACCTCATAACGGGCAGTGATGCTGAGGCGGTCGCTCTCGTCGTCAATTTTGGGGAAGAGGAAGGCGGAGCCCCAGGTATGTGGGGCACCTCATAACGGGCAGTGATGCTGAGGCGGAGCCCGAAAGCATTTCTGTGCGTGGTGATGAGTTGAAATGGGGCGGGAGCATAGCATAGTAAGCCATCTGGGAAAACCATTGTGAGTCTGTTGTGTTGTGTTGTCTACGTGCAGTTCCCAGGGTGCAAAATCGATGAAGGGTATTGGCGATCACATCTTACCTGGCTGGATAAGACATCTCACCCGGATATAGCATCTCACCAGGATAAGGCAATTCGTATTCCACTTGAGCGTTGCCCAGCAGTGTGATGAGCTCGTTGCGAGTGAACTCCACCCGCACCTCCCAACCCACCAGGTCCCTGCGGCGCAAAGTTTAAGGGGGATGGTTTAGGGACGAGTGAGAGCGGAAGGAACGGAAGAATTAGGAAGAATATGACTCAACAGGATGAGCTCGTTGCAAGTGAATTTTGCCCGCCCCTCCTACCTCACCAGGTCCCTGTGGCGCCAGAAATTGAGGGGGTGGTGCAGGACGAGTGAGAGTGGAAGGAACTGAAGAGGTAGGAAGGATACAACTCAAGACACAACGGATGAGCTCGTTGCTAGTTGCTATTTGCCTATTGCTTGTTGCATGGACAGAGATAGGGCGTAGAGATGGAGGAGATTGAGACGGGCCACTCACCTCTTGCCGGTGTTGAGGAGCTCGATCTTGGATTTGAACCCGTACGGCTTCACACTCCCATTCCACACCGATGGAATGGTGATGATGCTCTCTATCACATACGCCACCGTGACGCCGAAGCATGGAGCAGGGGGCGCGGGGACGATGGGGCCGCGGATGGGAGGCGGCAGGGGGGAGGAGAGCGAGAAGGGGCCGGTCGGGGGCGGGCGGATTATCGGGTCTGGGATGGCGTCTGATTGGTTGGCTGTGGGAGGGAGGAGGGTAGAGAGGAGAGGGGGAAAAGCATTTGAAATGAGGAATGGAAGGAAAGGAGAAGGAAAAGAGGAAGGTAGGGAGACCGAAACAGCGTTTCCCTTCCCTCCAACACCATCAAGTGTTTTCCCCTCTCCTTTCCTTTCCCACATCAACCTAAAGTGCTTCCAGCCTTTCCCTTCCCCTCATCACCCTCAGTGCATCCCTCTCTCTCCCTCCGCCCAAAGTGTTTCTAAGTTCTTCGAATGGACCTTGTATTAATTGATGGGTGATACACGGGAAGAAGCAAACACAAGCAAGCACAAACATAACAAAGTGTTTCTAAGTTCTTCCCTCTCTCGCCTTCCCCCATTGTTCCTGAGCTTACCAGCAGGAAGGGTGGCAGCGCTTGTCATGACATGGCTTCTCACAGCATCACCGGCAGCAGCATCAGCAGAACCACTACTTGCGCCAGTGGGGGCTGACGAGGGAATGAGAGCTGCAGAGGTAGAGCCTTCTGCTGCTGCTGCTGCTGCGTCTGCTGCTGCTGATGCTGAAGATACAGAGTTGGGTGGTGGTGGTGCTGATGATGATAAAGGCCCAGGGAAGGGCGGTGCTGGTGCAGATGGTGCCTGTGCTAATGTCGACGTTACTGACATCAGCAGCAGGGTGACAAAGGCGAGGGTTCCCCCCGTTATAGCGCCCGGCTTGACGCCACTGCTGTTCGTCTTTCTCCGTTTCTTCTCATTCCTCACGCGTCTCAGCCACATCTGCTCCTCATCCCTCTTAACAACACCGCCATCAATCTGACTCAACTCAACGACCTCCTGATTCCTTTTCACAAATCCCCCCACGTTCATCTCAGCAAAAGTCGCTGCAGTTTCCATGCAGAGTGTACCAATCACCTCTTCTTCGCTCCTCCCAAAAGTCTCATCGGATTTCTCATGCCGCGTTGAACCAGGCGTTTCTTGGTGTTCCCATCTGCCAAAATCGGCCAAGTGAAATTGGAATTCCTCTAGACGACTAAAGTCGCACGGGGGTGACTTTGGCGACGGCGATGATGATGCAATCGATGGTGACGATGGGAGCGGCGCCGTTCGTGGCATCCTAACCGTTGATCGTGCCATCGTGGAGTCCGTGGACGGCCGTATCCCCTTCAGAATTCCTAATCTCATTCTCGATTGCTCCCTCTGTTGCTTGTGAATCCACTGCAGCTAGCAGGAGCGCCGTTTCTACCTAATGCTGGTTTCAATTATGGCCGCGGTGGCGTTAGCAGTGGCACTGCGGCCTCGAAAGGCCGATGACACTTAAGACGCGATCGATCGTTAAGTCTCACTGCACGACGAAGAATGAAACGTCCCGAAAGTTTCTAGATCACAAGAAGATTCGGAATAACACCGAGAAATAACGAATCTCGGTGGCGATGACCGTGGCTCTGGAGCTAGAGCGACCGTTGGTACTGATGACGAAACTCTAGCTGCGTCAAACTGCACGAGGAACTATGCCCTCTGCGACGACCTGTGCGACCAGCTGCACGACTGCACTTTCGCCTTCGCAGTATCTGATACGTAAAGGCTGCCGAAAAATGAGCTACTACTAGGTGGAGTTTCTTTTTTTTTCTGGCGTCAGGCTCTTCGCTGTGCGCGCGGCGTTGTCCTTGATTCACGGAGTGGAACGTGGGAACGACCTGCTATCTGCCATCTGTCGCATTGTGTACCGCTAGGAGGCAAGCTCGTACGACTAACCGCGCTTCGACTGCGCGGAAGCGTCGCGCGCTGCGGTGACCGCGCTCTAACGCATCGGAACGGTGCCATGGTGACGCTAGGACTAGAAGCAGCTGACGTGACGAGGTGCTTGGTTAGGAGAAAGCGAGAATGAAGCTGAGTGAAATTCAAAGGTGAGGAATGACGACCATGAGACATCTCCTGTTGATTGATTATGGCGGTTGGTGGGATGGAGCGGCGATGCTGTGAACTGAAAAGGCGGTGCGGCGGTAATCTCGAGGGTACTTTATATTTTTGGCGGGAACTTCGTTTGGGGGATAGATTAGCAGCAATAAGAGCTGTTCATTACAGAAACTGTAAAATCAGCCAATTATTTGATAATATGATATGGTAAGTGACTTGTTACCACCATACTGGTACTATCTAGAGCATATTGCCATTAGAGAGCACGATTTTCAATTAAACTAAACTGTCTGATCTTGAATCAATATATATTACAGTCATTCCTATACGTATCACAAGTGGTCATTTTTTGAACATACAGCATTGAATATGAGATATGTATGTTAATTTTGCCATAATTTGATTAGTTTCAGAATCATATTTTGAAACATGTATTCCCTTGCCTTCTCACGCTTCATCACATGTCTTACATAACTTCACCTAAAACTGTAGTATGCAGGTCGTTGCCAGGTTGCTTTTTAGCGAAAGGCAACAGGTCTCCTGTCCTGGAAGTTGCTGCTCCTCCCAACTGCCAGGTCTTTGCATGGTCGAGCTTACCATGGCCAGCCATAAACTTTTAGGAGCTTAGCACAATAGTTGGTAGGTCAAATTGTCGGGAAGTGCTTTCGCGAATTTGCGCGACGATCTACATGTTTAGGCTAGTTCCGCGGTTCTCTAACTTCATACCTTGGCGTAAATTGGATTCCGATAAGCCATTCTTTCCACGTTCACTGTCTAATTCCAACAGTCTGAAGGCCAGCCTTTTCCCAGCTTCTCCTTCTGCAGAGTAAGCATTTGTTCTCCTAACTTCTGTTTATTCACCCGTCAATTTTCACTACCAGGAACGCCAGTTACTGTTTCTCCATCCTCTCCTAGAGCCCTCGCCCAGTGACTCTATGAGTCCCTGTTGCCTTCCCCTCCTCGGCCACCTATTTTGAGGCGACTCAGAGTTCAGCCTCTCCCTCGCAGTCGTGAGCCGTTCGTGCGCTTCTCTCGTTTCACTCTGTCACGAATCCCCCCTTGGTCATGTTGAACCTCTCAAATTCCCTTCCGTCGGTCCCTCAGCAGCCTGAGGCAATTCCAATTCCTTCGCAATCACGCGCGAATCTAAACTGGCATCAGCGCGTAAAATCAACGTACACTTCAATCCGAGTCACCTCACATTGGGACCTCCGCATTGTTAACTTAACTGATCGCGGTTTCGTTTATCATGCCTTTTGCTCTTTTCCTTTACCACTCTTCTGTGCTAAACTTCATATTGGCCCAGCAGCAAATAGGGTTTTCTGACGGTGTTACCAATCCGCTCGCTAGTGTGGCTTGCTGATGCCTCGAGCTGCTGATCGCAAGCTCGCCAACCTCGCTGTCAAGCGGCTGGTGTCCGACTTCCTCGACGCGCCTTGCTGCGACACGGATGACTACGTCTCGTACCTCGGCCAGTAAGCCACGCGAGCTATGCCATGCCCTGCCATGTGTCTCGAAGCAGTGTGACACGGATGACTACGTCTCATACCTCGGCCAGTGCGTCGTGCATCCCATATCATATCATGCTGTGCCAAGCCATGCATGCCATGCGTCTTGAGGCAGTGAGACGCGGATGACTACGTCTCGTACCTCGGCCAGTGAGCCACGCAAGCGATGCTGTGCCATGTCATGCCTCTTGAGGCAGTGTTTTCTGCCACGCATCATCAGTCAGTGAGACACGGTTGATTGCATTCCCACTTGAGGAGTGAGCCATGCCATGCCATGCCATGCCATGCCATGCCATGCCATGCGTCATCCAGGCATTGGCCATACTTTATGAAGCTATGCACCGTGTGCAGCTGCGTTTTGAAACATTCCCCCCCTCCTTTCTTCTACCCCGGCTCCTCGCACAACTCCCCTCCACTGCGCACCCTTGTCGGCCTCTGTGCAGTGCAGTGCAGTACCTACTTCTCTCCACCACCCCGTATTAAAGCCTCTCTCCATCTCTCTGTCTCGGGCTTTCTCGTTCCCCGTGCTACAGCCTCTCCACCAGCCAGTCAGCGCCACCTGCCAGCAGCCGAAAGCGCAAGACAACTGTAGACTCCCACGGACTCTCTCCCGCTGTCAGTATTCGCTCTCCCTCTCCTCCCGCTTCCGTCTCTCCTCCATCCCCACTCCCCCCCACCCATCCTTTCCCCTTCTTCCTGCTAGTGTGACGTGCCCAGCCTGTTTGTACGTCATAGTTTGCTTTCTTCGCTAGTTGTTTCCTTTCCCTGTGCAAACATAAGCTTTTCTGCCTCATCCACATCGTGTTTCGTTTTAACATTGTTTCATTTATTGCCCGCATTCCTGCCTTATTGCGGAGCATTTCTGTCTATCCTTGTCATCCTGTCATCATGTGTGCAACATGGTCCTTCGAATGCGTCTCTCTTTCTATCGTATATAGTGAATCAAACGTTGCCTGCTGCTGTTTTTTTTTGCCCCATGCCCTTGGCGCATGCATGCATGCAGAGAGGCACATAGCACAGCATGGACGTTCTGCTGCATCAGGTGCAGAAGCTCAAAATGTTGGAGAGGCAAGCCTAAGGCCCAGGGCCCAGGCGTCCTGTTACAGAGTGCTTTATTGCGACTCACGCATGTGCGTGTGTCTGCTGCCTTGCGTGTGTCCTCCCATGCCCATGGTGCAGCGAGGCACAGAGCACAGCATGGACTGCTGCATCAGGTGCAGGCCCTGAAGCTCAAGATGACCGAGCAGGCGCAGGCCCAGGCATCCCCGTTAAAGAGTGTTTATTACAACTTAACTCACGCATGTGTGTTTGTGCGTCTGCTGCCATGTGTGTGTGTCTGCATCCATGCAGCGAGGCACAGAGCACAGCATGGACGGTCTGCTGCATCAGGTGCAGAAGCTCAAGATGACCGAGCAGGCCCAGGCATCTCCTGCATCCCCGTTACAGAGTGCTTCACTACAGGCATCTCCGTTAGGCTCTGGCATTGCTAATCAGGGCAGAGCAACGCATGATAGAGAAGGGGCTGCTACTCGGTAAGCCTGACGTAAAAATTTTGGGTCTTGTTCTTAAGATTTTCCTCAACATCTTCCTTGCAATTTCCTCCTCACACGCCCGGAGATCCATTCTCTGAGTCGAAACAAAAATTATGCTTGCGTTTAAGCTGCTGTAAGTCTTCTGTTTCCTTCATGTGCCTTTGACTGTGTCTCTTCTCGTTCTACAACATACTCCCCCCACACACACACCAGGTCCGACCCTTCATCATCTCCCACCGTCACACATACTCAAGAGGTGTCGACCGAGGGAGCCCCTGTAACATCTAACATAGGAGCAACTGTAGCATCAAATGTAGCGTCAACTCTAGGGTCAACTTTACCACCAGCTGTAGCACCATCTGTAGGAGGAACCAGACGTCTCTCACTCTCCTCCTCCCCCGCGCCCTCCCCAGCCTCCTCTACGGTCCGTAGATCGCTAGACCTGAGTGGCATGAGCCTCAACCCCCACGCTGCAGAGTTTGTTCCTGTCTTTGGCCCTCCCTCCACCCTCACCACTGCATCACAATCAGAACTGGCGGCAGCAGGAGGAGGTGGAGGAGGAGGAGGAGGAGGAGGAGGAGGAGGAGGAGCAGCAGGAGCAGCGGGTGGTGTAGCAGGGTCTGCTGGTGCAGCTGCAGCAGGATATGCATCCTTCCTGCAGGGCAGCAGCGCAGCAGGGTACGCGTCCTCACTGCAAGCCGGGTACGGCGGCATGGGCAGCGGTTTAGCAGGGTACAACGGCGGGGCAGCAGAGGAGGCGTTTGAGGAGTGCGAGGAGGAGCTGTTGAGCCGATCCCAGTCACACAACAGCAACGCCTCTGATGATGAGTACCGCCGCTTCTGGCGCGATCGGTTGCCGGATGAGCTCCTGAGCTTTGATGAGTCGCCCAAGGGGAGAGGGGGTGGGCGGGATGGGAGGGGCGGGGGAGACGGGAGGGATGTGAGAGATGGGTTTTTGCAGAGAGGGATGGGGATGGAGATGGATGTTGGTGGGGGTGGGGGTGTTGGTGGGTCAGGAAACAGCCTGCATCGCCATGCAGCTAGCATGCCCTCTCTAGATAGTGGTCACATGTCCAGTTCCGCTGCTGCTGGGGCTGCTGGTGGTGCTGCTGGTGGTGCTGCTGCTCCCCCTGGTGGCGACCCAAACAGTTTTGACAGGCATGGATATGGATACTCGTTTCGGCAAGGCGTAGGCCCCCCTGGTGGCCCCCCTGCCGCCCAGTCCATGGGGAATATGCTCGAGGAGGTTAAGTCAGACTCGGCTCTAGACCACATTGCACCGCATCGCACCGCTCTCGGTCTCTCCGGACCTGGCCAGCACCACCACATGCCGCATCGCCCTATCATGGGATCGCCGGCTCAGGGACCTTCCTACGAACCTTCCCTTGACAGGCCTTTTGAACCTTCCTATGATCCTTCCGCTCCCTATCATCCCGGCCCCCCTCCCTCACACCTGCTTTCTCGTAACGCCCCCAGCCCTGCCTGGAGACCTGCCCCAGGCCCACCTACGTTTTCACCTGGGCCCCCACCTGGCGGACCACCTGGCTCTGTTGGTCCCGTCCCTTCCAGCCCTGTGATTGGCCGTGGAGGAGTACCCCATTCTCCGATGGGCACACCCAACAGATATCCCCCATACGGCGGGGTTAACCCTAACTCTAACCACATGAGCCCGCAGCAGAGCCCTGCCAGGGGCCCTCCCCCCTATGCCTCCCCCGGAGGCCCTCTCTCCCGATTTGGTGGTAACCCTGTAACATCAATGTCCATGCCGTTACCCGGTGCTGCCTCCCCCCCTCCCCCGCTCCATCACCCCTTCAACAGCCCCGCTAGGGGCTATCCCCCTCCCCCGAATGCAGACCCGAGGGCCATGCACCCCCCACCGTTTGAACTCCCTGGTCCGGCTGGGGGAGGGGACATGGGGGGAGGGATGGGGGGAGGCGGGGGAATGGGGGGACCAGGGGGAGGGGACGGCATGTGGGGAGGGAAAGGAGGGGGAGTGAGAGAAAGAGCGATGTCGATGCCAGTTGGGTGGGGGGGACCGGAGGAAGGGGTAGGCGGCGACGATCGGCACGACCCTGTGCGCATACTCGCTACAGAGTTCCCCATGTTCAGTATAAGCACCCTGGCTGAGATTTTTTTCTCGAATGGCGCTGACCTGCCTCGGACCATGGAGATCCTGACCCAGCTGCAGGTGTGCTGTGCGGTTGGCATGTGTGTAATTCGGTTCAGCTGGGGTCTATGTGGTTGGGGCGTATGCTGCTGCTGTGCGGTTGGTTTGGGACGTGTGACGTTTCTAGACATCCTTATCTTGCCTGCTCTTATCAAAACCCTAGGCTAAATGAATGTAACCTCAACCCTCTCTTTCCGCCCCCCCCTCCCCACCCCATCCCTTTTTTGTTTCTTCCAATCCATCCTGGTTTCGCTCCCCTTCACAGCCCCAAGATACCTCTCCCCCTGTTTCGCAGTTGACCCTCTCTTATCGCCAACCGCCGCACCCTCCTCTCATCCCTCCCCTTCCCCCCACCCTTTTGCTTCTCTCCGCGTCCACCTTTTTGTCTCCCCCCCTGCTCACCTATTTGTCTCGCTCCCCTACTCTCCCATCGCCAACCCACCGCCGCCCCCCACCCCCTTCCGCGCACCCCCCTTCTCTCGACTCCCTCGACTTCCCCACTCTCTCCCCCCCCGACCCCCTCCCCACTTCCTCCTCCCCCATGCTCCGCCCCCGCCCCTGACATTCGCCCCATGCAAGGCTCTGTCCCTGATTTCGCTCGCCCCATTGTGTTTTTCTCCCCCTGCCCCCTTCTCCCCTCACAGCTTCAGGACGAGATGACCCTTCCATCACCAACCCACCGCCGCCCCCCACCCCCCTCAGCGCACCCCCCGTCTCTCGACTCCTTAGACTTCCCCTCTCTCTCCCCTCTAGACCCCCTCCCCGCCTCCTCCTCCCCCATGCTCCGCCCCCACCCCGCCTCTCAAGCCAATGACATTCGCCCCATGCAAGGCTCTGTTCCAGATTTCGCTGGGGTGCTGCGAAAGCCTTTACCCCCAGGAGCAGCGACTCAGAACGCGTGGGGGGGTGGGTTGCAGGGGGAGAGAAGCGGAGGAGGGGAGGGGATGGGTGGAGCAGCGCGGAGAGGGGGAGGGGGAGGCGGAGGGGGAGGAGGCGGGGCGGGGGGAGGAGGCGGAGGGGGAGGGGGGTATGATTTTGCAGGGAGAGGAGGGGCACAGCCATGGCTGGAAACTGGCAATGCTGTTGGTGAGCTCTGCTTGTATCACCCTTGAGAATTCTCACAAGTGCAATACTTCAATGCTGGGGTGCTGTTGCTCTCTTGGATGTGTGGCATGTTGTTGCATGAGCGTTGACATGATAATTGGACAACCTAAATCTCTTGTTTATTTGCTTACCCCTTTCTCCCCATGCAGCCAACCTATATGGAGACATGAGGGAGGAGGCTCGAGACCATGCGAGAATACGAAATGCGTGCTTCGAGCAGGTCAGTGCTTCTTGCCTTTTTCCGTACACCGTTTCTATTTTATTTTGTGTTTTTCTGTGATATGGATACTTCAACTCAACTCGTTCCAGGCGACACAGTCACGTGTGTGTGCCGGCCGGCAATGCCCAACGACGTCCTTCCAATTAAGCATACAAACCAAACACATCCCAACCATCTTTAGAGCCTTTTCCTATGTGTACCTGCGTTGCTTTCTTACCTGTTTCCTCCTGCAGGCCACGCAAGTGTACCTGCGTGGTCAAGGCAACCGCCAGGCCATTATCTGAAACACCTCGTATCACTGCCTGTCCACTTTGTCGCCCCCCCCCCCCCTCTGCAGGCCACGCAAGCGTACCTAGCGGGCAACAAGGCAGCAGCCAAGGAGCTGAGCGCTCGTGGGCAGTGGCACAACGAGCAGATGAAGGCAGCCCACGCCAAGGCCAGCGATGCCATCTTCAGAACTCGGTATGTCTGCTTGCTGCTGCGTCTGGTGCTGTTGGTCGCTGCTGGTGGTTGCTTGCTTGCTTAGAAGAGTGTGAGTGGGTATGGGGCAGATGAAGGCAGCCCACGCCAAGGCCAGCGATGCCATCTTCAGAACTCGGTACGGGCAGCAGTGAATCAAGTGCAGTTAGTCTTTCAGGTTATTCCGGGACCTGTCACCATCTTTCTCACACCCTCTGTTCGTTTTTTTTCAGAAACTACCCTTGCTCCCCTGCCCCTTCCCCCCTTCCCGTCCTCTTTCTCCCAGCAATGCGGCGTCCGGCTATTTAGGTGGTGGAGGGGCAGGGGAAGGGGGAGAGGCGCGGGTGTTGGACCTGCATGGGCTGCATGTGGGGGAGGCGATACCCATGCTGAAGCGGGAGATAGCAGCCATGAGGAGTGCTGCTCGCTCCACCCAGCAACGACAGCAGGTGAGATAGAATGGCAGGGGACTGGTGGGTCTTTTGAGCCTCTTATGCCTATTGGGCCTGCTACGTGGACCTTCACGGGCTGCATGTGGGGGAGGCAATACCCATGCTGAAGCGGGAGATAGCCGCCATGCGCAGCGCTGCTCGCTCCACCCAGCAACGGCAGCAGGTGAGCGGGCGAGGAGGTTATAAGGGGGGTTGGAGTTGGGGACTGGTAGATGTTTTCGGCCTGGTATGTTGGACGTGCATTTTCTGTATGTGGGGGAGGCTGTACCTGCCATGAGAACTCTCCCGCAGGCGTTACGCATGCCCTGCACCAAGCGATCAATCGCCATTGCAAAGGGCGATGAGCACGACACCAAGGGCGACCATTGGGGCACTAAGGACACCAGAAGCAGCACAAAGACTATCCCACCCAACTCCATCCCCCTCATGTGCTGTTTGTCAACCCCAACTCACCCGCAGGTGTACGTGTGTGTGGGCACGGGGCACCACACCAAGGGCCACTCTTGAGGCACCTCAAAGACTAGCCACCCCACTCCAACAACCCTATGTCTTGTCTCTCAACCCCAACTCACCCGCAGGTGTACGTGTGTGTGGGCACGGGGCACCACACCAAGGGCCACTCTTGAGGCACCTCAAAGACTAGCCACCCCACTCCAACAACCCTATGTCTTGTCTCTCAACCCCAACTCACCCGCAGGTGTACGTGTGTGTGGGCACGGGGCACCACACCAAGGGCCACTCTTGAGGCACCTCAAAGACTAGCCACCCCACTCCAACAACCCTATGTCTTGTCTCTCAACCCCCAACTCACCCGCAGGTGTACGTGTGTGTGGGCACGGGGCACCACACCAAGGGCCGAGCGCCCCCGCGCCTGCCACTGGCAGTGGAGCGATATTTGGTGGAGGAGGAGCGAGTGCAGTTCATGGAGACACAACCCGGCATGCTGCGAGTGGTGGTGTAACTTGTGGTAACATTGTAAACATGTGTGGTAATGCACGTGGCAGCAGCAGTCTGTGGCAGCAGGCTAGTGTGTCTGTGTGGAGGAGGAGCGAGTTCAGTTCATGGAGACACAGCCCGGCATGCTGAGAGTGGTGGTGTAGTGACGTGTGGTAACATTGTAACATGCATGGTAACATGGTAATGCATGTGGCAGCAGCAGTGTGCGGCAGCAGGGTAGTCAGTGGAGCGGTATTTGGTGGAGGAGTGAGTGCAGTTCATGGAAACACAGCCTGGCATGCTGCAAATGCTGGTGTAGCATGTGGTAACATTGTAACATTCATGGTCATGGGTAACATGTAACATCTGTGGCAACATGGTAACGTGTGTTAGCAGCAGTGTGCGATAGCAGGCTAGGCAGGGGGTAATTGGTGGAGTGAGTTTTAGTGCATGGAGTCACAGCAGGGCGTGCTGTGAGAGTGCTGGTGTAACCGCGTGTTACGTACGACTGCTCTCGCCTTGTTTCCATCAACGGCTGACAACGACATTGATGGCCAGCTTAATCAACGGCTGACAGCATTAATTGCGGACAGCACAACGGTTGGCAGCAGCAATGACCAATCACATCGGTGGCTGACAGCAGCAGTGGCGAATCGTCTGTTTGAGACGACATTGGCACAACGCCAATCCAAAAGCGGGCGCCATACGTTTCTAGTTAAATTTAGTATGTCGCATTTTTTAATCGATTGTTAGTGTAACATTCTCACAAGTGCTAGGAAATTGTAATCAGGATATGTAGCCATTCTCTCAGTACAATGCGACCATGAGAATGTAGTGGTAAGAGTAACTATGAATTGTACTACTGGTAGCTTGAATATGCATTATGTAGACCTTCCATATGGATGTAAAATTGATATATTTCAGGAGGTTCTTACTGTAACGTAGTCCATAATCTACCGCTACAATCGCAACACCACAGACGAAGCATGAATCACCACAAGGCTTGCGTGTGCGCGGAGTCGAGTTTCCGCCCCTGTCGATTTTGCCGCGTGGCGCAATCGAACTTGCCGTGCCAAATTTGTCAGAAGGGCAATTGGTCGGGACTTGGGAGAATCCCAAGGGGGAAAGCCATCTGGTCAACTCGAATTCACAGCCCGCACGATTTCCCCACATCCACTATATTCATGAAATAACAGCTTGCATTCTGGACCTGGTATTTCTCCTGAGAGATTCTGCTTTGTTTCTCACACGCGGCTCCTTCGCGGAACCCAGGCCCGCGTTCCGCCTCTCCCCCGCACGATGTCCGCCCGCGCCTGCTCTCTCCTCCGCTTCCGCCCCACTGCCGCTACCTCCTCCGCCGCGCGCGCCACCATCTCCTCTGCGCAATGCGCGCGTTCCTTTAGCACCGCAAGCGCGGCAATTCCGGGAAGTTTCGGGAATTCGAGCCGCATTAACAGGAGTGACGGTAGCAGCATCAGCAGGGGTGGAATTAGTAGTAGCAGCCGGCGCGGCGGTAGCAGCAGCGGCAGCGGCATCTTTCGCAATTCCCCCATTTCGCCCTTTTCCCCCTCTCCGCGTCGCGACGCGCAACGACAGGCTTCATCCCCGTTACTGCGCCGGCCGCCTAGCGCGTCGCTCTCTAACGGAACTGGGGAACGCGCGGAGCGCGTAGCGGCGGGGGACGTAGTGGGCGGAAAGTACCGCATCGTGCGCCTGCTGGGGGAGGGGTCGAGCGGAAGGTTGTACGAGGCGGAAGTGGTGGCGGAAGGGGAGACGGCGGAAGGAGGAGAGGGGGAACGCGTCGCGGTGAAATGCATTTCGTTGCGGTCCGCGACGAGGTGGAAGGTGGGTTGCAAGAATGGACGGTTGAGATGGTGGAAGGTGTGTTGCAAGAATGGACGGTTGAGATGGTGGAAGGTGGGTTGCAAGAATGGACGGTTGAGATGGTGGAAGGTGGGTTGCAAGAATGGACGGTTGAGATGGTGGAAGGTGGGTTGCAAGAATGGACGGTTGAGATGGAGGAAGGTGGGTTGCAAGAATGGACGGTTGAGATGGTGGAAGGTGGGTTGCAAGAATGGACGGTTGAGATGGTGGAAGGTGGGTTGCAAGAAAGGACGGTTGAGAAGGTGGAAGGTGGGTTGCAAGAATGGACGGTTGATTGAGTTGATGGAAACTGGCCAGGTGAATGGACGGTTGCGATGGTGGGTGGTATCTCCCTCTAGAGATGTTCAACAAAAACGTGGTTCTTGCTTCCACCCTTGTTATTCTTCTACGTTTTTTTGCCTTTTCACTCCCAGCTCCTGCTTTCTTCGTCCAATCTTGTCCGCTTCACCCTTTCTCAGGATTTGGACTTATTTGAGCGGGAAGCTAGAGTGCTTCGCAGCCTCAACCATCCCGGCATTCCGCAATACATTGATTATTTCGAGGTAAGCTGATGTAAAACAAACAAAAGGGCAAAAAGGGGCAAAAAATATTGACAGAGGTCTCTAGATGGTGGTGTATAACCATTGTCAAGGTCAGGTTTGGAGGTCACGTATTTCTGATCATAGTGAATCGCAGTTCCTGGATTTTGAAATGTTTGTGTCACTTCTCAAAAGCGCGGGGCGTTTGGAGCAGAAGGTCAAGGATCTATTCCCTTTCCATGTTAGGCTTGCTAACGAATCTCGTTCCCTGTTTTCAACGAATCTCGTTTTCTGTTTTGAACGAATCACGGCCCCAATCTGCGCAGGTCCACTCACTGACAGGCTCCCCTGTCCCCCCCTCTCCTCCTCTCCCCTCAATCCCTGCACTGCCATTCAATCCCCTCCTCACTATTATCACATCTCTCGACTGACCAATCAGGAGGACACTGCAACAGACCGCGCCTTCTATCTCGTGCAGTGTCCCAGCGCAGGGGCAGTGTTTTGAGACGTCTCAAATCTCGTGCAGTGCCTGGCGCAGGGGCAGTAACTGGCAAGCAGCCTTTGACCCCCTTCCCGTCTCTCTCCACGGCCCCACCTTTTCACATCCTCACATCCCCACCACACATCCAGGAGGACACTGCAACGGACCGTGCCTTCTATCTCGTGCAGCGGCTGGCACACGGGCAGTCGCTGGCAGCGTTGGTGGCGGGCGGATGGAGGGGAACGGAGGAGGAGGTGGTGCGGATTGGCATAAAGGTGAGAGTGGAGTGGTGCATTGTGAGGGAGGAGGTAGGATAGGCGTTGAGGTTCGCGTGCGCCCACAGTTGTGCCTAGAGGCGACTTTTGAGTCGACTCAAAAGTCAACTGTGGGCCCACAATTGTGCCTAGAGGCAGGGGAGTGTGAGCTGAGCTTGGAGAGCAGCCAAGATGGCACACGGGCAGTCCCTGGCAGCTTCAGTGGCGGGTGGTTGGAGGGGAACGGAGGAGGAGGTGGTGCGGATTGGCATAAAGGTGAGAGTGGGGGCATTGAGATGAGTATGGTGGTGGTGCATTTGGAGGGAAGAAGGTTGTGAGAGTTGGAGTTGAGGGGAGCCCACAGCTAAGACTCAACGAAAAGGCTGAGGAGGGTAAGTCTTACTTGCCTTGGTGGAGAGAGATCGTTGGCATTGATTCATGTCGTATTTTGTGCATGACTCTTTATTGAGTTCCTCGCTAGCACTTCAATGCCAACCTTGCTCTATTTTATATTTCCATCTCATGCATGGTGCACCATCCGTGCTGTACCACACACCACCATCAACCATGCACCATGCACCATCATCAGGTCTTGGAAGTTCTGTCTTATTTGGAGTCTCTCCGGCCTCCCGTGGTGCAAAGGGGGATACCAAGGCATGTGCTGTTCTTCACACTTGAATGTGCACTTTTCCACCATATAACATCCACCCTGCACCATCCACCCTGTACCTTGCATCATCATCAGGTCTTGGAAGTTCTGTCTTATTTGGAGTCTCTCCGGCCTCCTGTGGTGCACAGAGACATCAAGGCATGTGCTGCTCTTCATTGTGCATTTTTTCCTTTGTTGAAATTTGTCGGTTCTTTCCATTTGACTTCGTTTTATATGGTTTTTAAATCCGGAATAACATATCTCTTGATAAGAACCAAGTTTCGGCAGTTCATGGCAAGCCGTTTGTCCAAGTCCAAATACTTCACTCTTTCCGTTCCTGTGTGCTGTTTTCTCCTTCCGTGCTGCTCTCGCTCTTCTCCCATGACCCTTGATATTTATTTCCGTGTTACAGCCCGACAATATAATTCTGGACCAATCACGCGGCACGGTTCAGGTGGTGGACTTTGGGGCGGTGCAGGAGGCATCTGCGTCGGCACGGAGTGATGCTCCTATTGGCAGCACCGTTGTTGGTACGGTGCGTTGGGACTGTAACGAGTTGAGACTGTAATGAGTACGGTGTAGGAAGCCTGCGTCAGCAAGGAGCGATGCTTGTCTCGGCAGCACAGTTGTCGGTACGGTGCGTTGAGACTAAAGTGGACTGTGACTATAGCGAGTTGCGCTTGTAGTGAGTACGGTGCAGGAATCATCTGCGTTGGTAAGGAGCGATGCTCATCTCGGCAGCACAGTTGTTGGTTCAGTGCGTTGAGACTTCAGCGAATCATGCCTATATCGAGTTGAGAGTGTAGCGAGTACTGAGCAGGAAGCATTTCCATGGCAAGGAGTGCATTGAGAGTATACCGAATGGGGACTATAGAGAGTTGAGATTGGGGTACTTCCCCCCCCCTTCCCAACCTCCAGTACGGCTACTTGGCACCGGAGAAGTTTCAGAAGCGGGCGAGCTCAGTCTGATCTGCACTTTCTCCCTTTACTGATTTCCACCCCCTCCACTCCCTTTGTTGAATTGCACCAACCCTTTATTAACCCCCACCTTCTCGCCCCCTCCAGCACGGCTACATGGCACCAGAGCAGTTTCAGAACCGAGGAACCACACAGTTCGACCTCTACCCTCCTGGTGCTGAATTGCGTCTTCGCTCCTCACTCATTGTATACCATCAACCTTATTCCCCTTCCCCCCCCATCATCCAGTACGGCTACATGGCACCGGAGCAGTTTCAGAAC